TCTCTCTCTCTCTCTCTCTCTCTCTTTCTCTCTCTCTCTCTACGTACTAATCTGAATCACGCACATGAATTCATATTCCTTTCCCCCTTGGTTTACACTGGACTAAAATAATGACCCTATTGTATGCAATGGTAACATGATAAGGTTGTTATATTAAATGTAAATTTGTTTTATTAATTGCTCTAATTAGTAAGTCATAAACAATAATGTTTTCGTAACGGATATTTCCGTAATAAATATTTAAAAATATATAAACAAATAACATTGACATAAAAATATTTCGGAAAAAACGTGTCGGATATAATTTATATAATATTAATTTTTTAAATATATAATAATGACATTGAAAATAAATATATTTTTAAATATATAAAAGAATATTTTTTATTTTTGTATTAAGTGTTGCGTCTAAATAATTTCATGAAATATTTCAAAATAAACCTTATTATCAAAAATGCCAATATTATTATCAATATATACGACAAAAATCGTTGCGTCTATTACGACCATAACAATCGGTTATATAGTGTATAAAATTTTTAAATTTTATCACTTCAGATCTACATTGCCACCTGGTCCACTACCATTGCCGATTCTGGGAAACTTATTGCGTGAGTATTTGTGTCAGTCTATAAGATTTTAATGAGGGAAAGGTAGACATAGATAGGACACCTGCATCTTAGGGTCCGGGTTCAAGCCTTGCGGGCGTATTGTTTGTGGCGATGGACTGTTCTCCTCTGACGCATACCATCCCAATCTCCCGGCCCTCACAGAAGGCAATGAAAAGTGACCGGGCTCTGTTTGCCCTGTAATGCAATTTATTGATTGAAAATGTTATGTTTATATTTGTAATTATTTTAAATTGATACTTTTAAAGAAATGTTAACCTAGTTAATTTTATAAATAGTATTTAGGACTAAATCACACTTTGATGAGGTGTTCAGACAACTGGCCAAACAGTACGGACCGGTATTCACAATATGGTTGGGAAGCACACCACAAATAATAGTGTCGGACATAGGGCTGGCCCGCGAGGCCTTCAATAAGAATGATTTTTTGGGCCGAAACTTCAAATTTTTTAGTAAAATAAATATTTAAATGCAAATTTATAATCATTGGATAGACATATAACCAAATGAGACTTTTTGGAAAATAGCATTTACTGTACATTATACTTTTATTAAACTTTTATAATGAATATGAGTGTGTTTATTCATTATAAAAGTTTAATAAAAGTATAATATACAGTAAATGCTATTTTCCAAAAAGTCTCATTTGGTTATATGTCTATCCAATTATTTTTTAACAGCCAGACAACTATTTAAAAACGGTGAAACCGATATATTCTTTGCTGATTACGGGGCCCCGTGGGAGGTATTGAGGCGAGTGGCCCATCAGGCAATTCAGTGAGTATAAGATAATATTTGCAATTTAACTAGACCATTCAACTCAATGGCTAGCAATTTTCAGTGTTCAACAATAGCATGGTAACACTTTAAACATAACAAATTGGTAGTTTGGCAACATTTGCTTTAAATAAACTTAATTTTAGGAAATATTCAACAAATCCCAAACTGGTAGACATCGCCACAGAATCAGTCGATCGTATTGTTAAAAGTATTTTAACCAAGGAGGGTTTCGGAAAACCATTTGACCCCAAGAATTACATATATTTAATGTTTCTTAATATAATGGCTACCAGTGCGTACGGTATCAGGTATGTAATTAACACTAAAACTTAATATTGATAATAATTTCTCGTTTATATATAATAGTTATGATTTAGAAGATAAAGAGTTTAAGCGACTGAAGTATATATTAACGGACTATCCGACAGAAATTGCTCATAAGATACTGTTGTGGGAGTTCTCAGCATTTGTTAGATTTATTGATAGCAATCATATTAAACAATATTTCAAGAATATCCGGGAATTTCAAAACAATTCAAAACAAAAACTTATCTCTCATTACTCGGACTATTCGGGTGCTATTGAGAGAGACTTTTGTGATGCACTCATAACCGCTAAGAATGAGGCCCTCAGAGAGGGTAAAGAGTCGGCCCCTTATCTCACCGATGATAACCTGGCGATGATGTCTTGCGATTTATTTCTCGGGGGCACCGATACATCACACGTCACATTTCGATGGATGATATTATTGATGACATATTATCCGGAAATGCAGCGAAAGTTGAGACAAGAGATTGAGACACAAATCGGAGACCGAATGCCAACACATGAGGACAGGAATCGATGCCATTATGTCATGGCTTTCATCGCTGAGACAATGAGGTTCAGGAATGTGACGCCACAAGGAGTACCTCACAGGACTGTTGTCAATAGTACTCTGGGTANTATCCGGAAATGCAGCGAAAGTTGAGACAAGAGATTGAGACACAAATCGGAGACCGAATGCCAACACATGAGGACAGGAATCGATGCCATTATGTCATGGCTTTCATCGCTGAGACAATGAGGTTCAGGAATGTGACGCCACAAGGAGTACCTCACAGGACTGTTGTCAATAGTACTCTGGGTAAATTAAAATAAAAACACTAAAATATAAAATGACTAATGAAGTACATATATAAGGAAAATACACAATTCCAGTAAATATGGAAATTATGACATATCAGGGAATGATATTACGAAATGATAAGTATTGGGACAAAGGATTTGAGTTCATTCCCGAGCGGTTTCTGGACAGTGAGGGCCGGTATCTAACAGTGAGGCCAAAGGCGTACATCCCGTTCGGTGTGGGACGACGTGTTTGTTTGGGCGAGAAGTTAGCCATCGCTGACCTCTTCCTAGTTTTGGTCACATTTCTGCAGTCGACTCAAGACTGCGATATAGTCCTCGACAGTCATAATGGTATTGATCCGGATCCTAATGTTATTTATGTTTATAGTCCATTTGAATATAAAATTTGTTTAAATAAAAAATAATTTTTTAGATTTAGGAATGTTATTATCTTACAATGTTTTATAATCTAGTGTACACTTCATAACATATTAATTATAAACAAGGATTGACAGGCAATTCGATGCCTAACCGCGATTCTAGAATTCAATTTAAATTAATAAAACCTATTAATTATTAAAATGTTTTGTTTTGTTACATATGTTTTGTTAGAGGTATGCTATGGAACGACATACGAGGTCCAGGCGGATAATAAAATAGAACTCCCTGAACTAACCAAACCTACCCTAACCAACCCTATCTAACCCTACCCTACCTTAACCAACCTACTGAAGTTAATCGATACATACACTTTTCTAGTTAATGTCAAGTAATATAATAAAAGTTCTTCTTATTCAATTTCTTGGGATTAAATTTCTCAACATTAATTAATTTATTAAATAAATTTAATAAATTATTACAATTTCTTTAATTATCTCACATAAAATTGTATATAAATGCTTTAATAGTGGGTTTTATTTATTAATTCCTTAAGTAAAATTTCCTTAGCTAACTTTCTTAAAATTTTAGGCCATTGTTGCCTAAATTTATAAAGTTTCTATAAGGACTGTTAAAAATTTATCATTGTAAAGAATTTTAAAAATATTAAAAATTTTCAACCCATTTTTGCCAATCAGTTTAATAATTAGGTTTATTAAACTTGGGTTATTCTTGTTAATATTATTATTAGGGGATTTGATACTGACACAGGTTGATAAATAGACAACGGTCTGTAATACCCCTTAACAATATCTATGTTACCATAGGTATTGTTAGAGGTATGCTATGGAACTACCTATAAGCACAGGAAGATAAATTAAAATTTATCTACCTGACCTAAACCAATCAAATTCTCCATAACCTAATCTAACCAAACTTAAGCACATTTCCCATTGGATTACTATGGGATATTTGGGACATTTGAGCCAATGTCCCATAGGTTTAGCATGAAATTTATGACCATTTGAGTAAATTTCCCCATAGGATTAGCATTGGATTTTAATCTAATTTTATTTAATTTCACCATAGACTTAACATTGGGAAATTAAGCTAATTTAATGTCACTTATGTGCACATAATATGCACTATTGCACCATTTTTCAAAATCCTATAGACTTAACATGGGTTTTTATGCACTTTGGTCGTACTTTTTCGACTACATGTCCCTGGATCTCCTTTTGTCGCTTAACGCTATGGGATTTTTGGTTCCGCAACTGACATTTTTTGACACACCCGTCATGCACCATCATTATACCCCACATTCCCATAGGTTTAACATGGCACTGAAAACACAACGTCATTACGACATCGAGAATCCTTTTGCCCACTTTTGCTGGGATTTTCCATACGAAAAGCAAAGTCCTTATTGCTTTTTACGACTAAAACTCCATGTTAAGTCTATGGGATTTGCAATTTGACCGTCATCAGCATTATTAATGACGGGTGGGGGAGGGGGGGTCCCGTGAGTGATTCTATATACCGCGATTTTTTCCTCCCTGAATCGCGGTTAAAAATATTGCCTTTGTTTCATATTTATATTTTGAATAATTTAATAAGATGATAAATTAACTTACAATACCAATTAATTAATTATTACGATGATTTAGGTATTGTAATAATATAACTTGGGAACGTACAGTCAGCCAGTAGTTAATGCACTTAACATATAATATAAACGTACTTGTTATTATCAAACATTTGATTAATTAAAAAGTCTTGACTGTTATTTTATACAATATTTTAGTTCATTATTCATATCGTATATCGAAATGTTAATGAATAGTGAATAGGAATTATATGTGGATGGGGTCAACAACTTAAATGCAATTTTAAAATCATTGGATAGACATATAACCAAATGAGACTTTTTGGAAAATAGCATTTACTGTACATTATACTTTTATTAAACTTTTATAATGAATATGAGTGTG